TTCTGCATCTGGAAAAAAAAATACAAGGAGAAATTGAACTGCAAACGATGTATGTGTAATTGAACTGAGTATTGTTGAAGTCGATCACGTGAGACGTTAGTTGAGAATTATAGCGTTTGTTATAGCGCGAATGTTGAAATTAAGTGTATCGGTAAAGTTATATTCAGAAAGAATAAACCAGTTTTATTTAAGAAAGGACTTGTGTCGCTAAAGTTTCGTCGGAACGAATTTACGGAAAATTAACTAACGAACGGAGACGTAACAATACTTTATCAACTGATAATTTTTGTTGCTTAAAAAATGAATGCAATTTATCTACTGTTTAGTATTTTTGGGTGATCGTATGTGTGAGGGACACGATCCTGTTAACGTGGGATTTGGCGAGAGTTACGCTACAGGAGAAAAACTGTCAACGGAAATGAAAATGAATTTTAACCTAAACATGCAGTATAAGGTAAGATACTTATTGCGTTTTATGTATTTGTAAATTTAGAAAATATATATTTCACATCTTTGTCTTTATCAGTGACTATTCTCACGACTCGTGTAAAAAAAAAAAATTGTATAAAGTAGTTTCTGGGCTTCAATTATTAGAGTCTCTTCAAGTTCTTACTTAGTTTCTGTTCTAGCTGGTGATACCGGGTCAGCAAGTTGATCAGATTACCCCGCAAGATGTATCCAAGGCAATAGAAAATGAATTTAATGTCCGCAAACGTTATTTCGACTACATTTTCAAGATCATCTGTCGACTTATAGGTTTCCTGTTCCTTTTAGTCTTCCTTGAGTAAGTATAACTTCTCATATGTTTTAATAGATTATAAGTAGCTATAGATATATAGACTGTAGTTCTTATAAACGTTCACTTATGTACGAGTTTATTTAACATGTTAAATAATCAGTTTAGTGGATAATAAAGAGGGAAACTCATATTTGCTGTTGTGCATAGCGTATGTTACATATAAATAAACGTAATGGTTAGTATTCAAAGCTTTTTATTCATAGTAAGTTACTATTTTAATTCATGAACGTTTCGGAATAAACATAATCCATCTTCAACAAGCTATAATGAACAGGGTAGATTATTAGATACAAAAATATATAAAGTTTAAACATTTTATAAAAAGTAATTAAAATACACAA